TATTTGGAAGAGAAGAACTTGACATTAGCTACCTGCTGAATTTATTTACACACTGGTAAGTTTACAAACTCATACAAATGGCTAACTCCCTTGCGCAAGCCAGATAAATCCTGTGGATTCATCGGGAGTGACGGATGGAAGGCGACCGCTCGCGCTAGTGACGCAGGCCTCTCTCGCGAGCGTGCTCTCCGATCATTCCCTAGACTCAATTAGGCCTCAAAGCCCCGCCTTCCAGCCGCCAATGCCGATGAATCAAAACTCACATGTGCAGTGAAAGGGGGGTCGCTGTTCTGATTTTGCGTGTGACATAGCTGTATTTTATCGAGACGGGACCATGTCTCTCTGTCAGGCTCAGAAGTTCTGAAAATGATATTGCAATGCAAAATCTATGACCTTTTAGTTTTGCCATGTCGAATAATGTTGTTAATCCACTTCTCTATGCCTGGTTGAATCCAACGTTCCGAAAGCTCGTCGTCAGCACGATTTTTGGTAGCGTCGCGAAGCGAGGGAGCTCCAGGTAGAAATTGTGGACAAAGTTGTTAAGGTATAATATTTTCTCTATTTCAGAATGATCAATCGACCGTGGGTGTATAGAAGTTTACCACCGAAGAGTCAAACCGAGAAAAAGAACAACTCGCAAACGCCTGTCACTGCAGAAACGTTAATGACCAATGTACCGTCTAAGTTGAAAGGTGAAGAAATACAAAAAATCTTGGTCCATGGAAAAGAGTTAGGAAATTCTATGTTTGTAGCATAGTTTTGAGCGTTTCCTACACGTGTTGAGGCTGCGTGCAGAGTCACCCGTGCTAGCGCCGTGCCGGAAAGCCAATCAATCAATAAGGCACGGCGCTGGCACGGAGCTGGCACAGGCAACACACAGTCAACTCTGGGCACTGCCGAAAATTAGTATTGGCATTGAGTGAAGCTAGAGATAAATTTCTAAGATGTTTTCGTTTTCGTATTTCACCTATCCTAATGTATTGATTTCAGAATTGAGCTTGGTCACAAATGAGTACAACCTCCAAACAAAGTAAGCGACATTCACTCATTTCGGACTTGTTTCATCGTAATCCCTCTTTTAGGCAAATGACAACGCAGTCAGATTCGAAACTAATTGAGTACGACGATGGAGACACTTTTGTCTAACGGAATCCCTATTAGGATCAGAAATTTGTGCACTATGTTATGATTTGTTTCCATGTTTTTCTCCTTCCAATAAATAAGTCACCGAAAAAGGCAATGATGATGGTTTCGTCCGTAGTCAGTAAACATAAATAC